AAAAGCTGGAAAAATATAAAATACATAAAGTGCAAAAATATTTTGAAAAGCTATCATCTATATCTCACTACAGTATCTACAGTACAGCTACATTGATATGTCTGTATGTCTATCTCTACCACTATCATGTCTATCTTTCCAAATACCCACACCCTCACATCACATCCTTAAAAAAACCTTCTATTCCAAAAATAGCCATACAACATTAAGAATACAAACCCTGAGACTTCCGGTTTGTCGGCTTCGCTAGCGGCAGGGATTTGCGATCCTGCGCGATCCCTGCCGCGCTAGCCGCTTTGGTGCCTCCGATCCACGGATCTGGAGGCTAAGGCTGCCACGAAGAGGCAGCCGAAGATAAAAGGGATCCGGACAGGGGGTTGGGGTTTTCGCAGACCCCTTCCCCACCCGGCTTAACCCTCTTTTCTCAAGGCGGTGGAGCGGCGGTCAGCAATGGCCGCCACAAAGAAGCTGACAGCTGGACAAGATTGTGCTGGAGGAAGAAGGAGAAAGTTTTGAAGCGAAAGTTTTTTGGCTGAACTGGGACTAGAAGATACAAGTAACATCCTGAAAATTCTGATTTTTTGAAAGATACTTTGTTTCCAGAAGAGATTTACAAGCGGCGAGTGAAAGTGTTTAAAGAGAAAGTTTACTCTCCTTCCACATGGATTTAACAAATGGATATTGAAAATCCTGCTATTTTACAGAAGGTAAAAATTTAAAGCTTTCTGTTATAAGTGGGAAGGGAGAGGACAAAAGGAAAATTTTCATTAAGATTTTGTTGGAGGAGATGCCTGGAAGATTTTGAGATTGGAAGTTAATTGTAATAAGACTTTAAAATACAGATTGGGTTTTTTTTTTCCCTTGCCAATTGATATTACCCCAGGAAGAAAAAGTGTGAAGAACTTTGTGTTCTGTTTGGATTGTTTGATGACTTTGGGATTTTGGGGAATTGTTTCAAGCTTTGAATTATCTTGGTTGTTTTAAGAAGAAGAAGAAGAAAAAGAAGAAGAAAAGGTTTATAATGGCTTTATCTGTTGATGAACTGAGAGAGGAATATGGTAAAATTAAAAAAGAAGGTAAAGACGGCGTGAGAGAAATTTTTTGCTTTTTAGAAATGGCACTTGCCACTTATCAACAAACACAACAATTAATGGAGGAGGAGGAGGAGGAGGAGGAGGAGGAGGAGGAGGAAGAAGAAGAAGAAGAAGAAGAAGAAGAAGAAGAAGAAGAAGAAGAAGAAGAAGAAGAAGAAGAAGAAGAAGAAGAAGAAGCCATCTTTAATGAGTCTACAAAGTTGATCAAGAAAGGAAGGAAAAAGAGAGGAAGGAAAAAGGACATAAGACTTAAAAAAACATCCAAGAAAGAGAAAAATAAGATGCAAAACCAATACAATGTTAGAAAGCAAAAGAAAAGAGAAATACAACAGAGGGGGGAAGCGAAGGGGGGTAAAAAGACCAGATGGGACAAGATAGGAAGGAAGAAGGGGGGGGAAAGCCACAAAGGTATGAAACAAGATGTGGAAAAGAAATCTTTTTTTAGGGATAATGGGTAATGCATAACTTTGTTCCAAAATGTTTCTGCAAGGTACATGATAGTATTGTAGTATTTGTATTAGAAATAGAAAATTAGAATTTAATAAGGCTTAAGTAAAGATTAAAACATTAAAGGTTTAATAATGATAGATTTTAAGATTTAATAAAATATTAAAAGGAATGTTTAAAATATTTAGTTTAAGTATAGAGTTTAATTGACTATTGTGTGGATGTTTGTATGAACTTATTATTATGGTATTTGTTTTTGAAATAGATAATTGGAATGCTATGAGATTTAATGTTTAATTATATATTTAATTACTTTATGGATTTACTATTTTAGTAAGTAGAATGTACTAAGCAGAATTAGATAGGGAATTAGGTGTTACCTTAAATGTTAATTTAGGGGAGCGATGGAAAGGCATCATACATCGATTAGTGATTTCAGGAGAAATATTTTTTTTCTAATATGAATGAGATAAATGGATAATTGGAAAAGAATGGACAAAAGATATAAATATAATGATTTAAATTAAGATGAAATAAATAAAATAGAATTAAGAAGAGTGGAAAGCGGGGAGAAGTTATAATGAAGATATAGAAGGGTAATAAGATAGGTAATGGCATATAAGCTGAACATGAATCTAATTGAAGTCCATATAAAGAGAGGTAATCCGGGGCCAAGCTACTTTTTAAAAAGAAGTTTTATGTTTTTGTGTTTTGTGTCTGTATGTTTGATTGAGATTTAATAAAACCTTGGGAGAAAGCGAGAGGAATATTTGTAAACAAGGCAGAGGGAAATATGAATATGATGAGTATAAAATGGATAAATATAGAAGAAATGTAATTGAATAAGAGCAAAGAGAAATAATGAGAAATCTGCTAAAAAAATATTGAAGTGGAAATGGGATATATTAGAATTATATTGTATACAACAATGTTTTATCTGCCTTGTAAAAATTTATAATGGAAAGAGGTTTAATGTCTTTAATGTCTAATGATGCTTTGTTTGTCTGTAAAATTAATAAAATTTGTTTCAAAAAAAAAAAGAATACAAACCCTGAAGAGAAGGAAAGACTATTAAGGTTCTTCTGTTCCCGAACTCTGCCAGGTGAGGTTTGTGCCAACTAGTAAAGTATTTGAAATCATTGTAAAAGAGTGCCAGGAGAGAAAGCTTACTATTACAGAAGCTACATATGTTTTGTCAAAAAAGAAACCCACTAATTAATGATTATTAATAATAAACTTGTGATAAAATATAATTGAATGATACCATGTCTGAAATTTTTCAAGATAAAAAAATGTCACATTTTGTGCTAAACAGCTTCTTTGGATTGAAAATTATGGGCACAGCAATACTTCCGGTTTACATAGTTTTGTTCTTAAGTACTTTGCTCAGTAAATTGTATCACATCTGTATGTTCTTAAGGAAAGCATCTATGATGTGTCAAATAAAATTGTAGCTTAATATGCAATATTAAGTATATATTATATTATATTATATATTATGTATATGCAATATTTATGAGTCTTCATAACTGGTCTTCCTTCATGGTTTCCTGCTGCTCCGAGCTTCCCTTCTCATCCTTGAAAACTCTTTGCAGAGCAACCTTGTAAGATGCTCTGTGCTTATCCTTTCCTTTCTTCTTCCTCCCCACTAAGTAATAAAGGAGTGGGTTGATGCTGCTGTTGAGAGTGGCACATCCTAGCCCAATGGTCATAATGAGGATATTATAGGTATCAAAATATTCAATGACATAAAAGACATTCATTGGGAGAGAAAGCAGGAGGAAGAAAAGGAGAGCCAGAGAGATAGTGATGAGAAGTTTCCTTTGATTGCGTTGAGATTTAGATCTCATATGAATCAAGAGAGTCACAGTGGACACAACCATGAGAGGTGTACAAAGTAAACCATTCACAATCAGCTGGTAAAGCACAGGTGAACTTCCAAAGGCCCTGGTTTGGTGGAGAATGAAGTGCACTGCAGAGAGCAGGAAGGACAGGATCCAGATGAGGCTACAAACAAGAGTGGATAAATATGGTGGACGATGGCAGCGATGCCAGAGTGGGAAGAGGACAGCCACACACCTATACAGGCTGATGGCCATCAGCAGAAACTGGCTGGCAGAATAGGTGAAGCAGTAGAGCTCAAAAAGTAAGAAGAAAAAGATATCGCTAACGTATGTTCTGCGACTCAAAGTAAACACTGACACAAATATAGCTGCAGTAATGAGGGATGTGAGGACCCCAAAATCAGCGATGGAGAGATTCAGGATGAAAGTGGTGAAAGGATTCCTCTTAATGGAAAAGGCCAGGAGATAAATTGTCCTTCCATTTCCCACCAGGCCTAAAATGCAAATAAGGGCAAAGAATCCATTGAGAACATTTAGTGTTACATTATCAAACGGTTGATCAAAAGGAGAAGAAAAAATTTCTGGTATTTTAGAAACATTTGGAGAAACTCCGGTAGTATTGAAAGGAAGGTTGACCATTTCAGAATCATTCCCATGAAATACAGAAAATGCAAAGTTCTCCTTTATCCTAAGATCAAAAAGAGACAGAAAGAGAATCAATCCTTGTTAGTGAAATACATCTACGGCAACTATAAAAACACCACAGAAATATTTTATGAGTTGACCTGTATACTGCAGGAAAGCACACCCCTATCTTCCCAGATTAAAATATTCTTTATCCTTCATTTTAAAAAGAGGCAGCATATTATATTTCTCCAGGGTGAAAAGGAGAGGCATCTTCTTCATGGGAGAAACAGCCCCACTCTTCCTGCCTAGGAAAAGAGTCTCAAGAAGAAGAAGCCGGTCTTTTGGAATGCAGATTTTGTATCCATGCAGAAAGACTGGGCCAATTTAGGCATAAACCAAACACCTTCAGCTACAGCTCTGGAGCTGATGGGATTTAATTTATATCTCCCCATCCAAATTCTAAGGACAGGATATGACCCTTAGGATTAACCCACAATCATTAGAATAGCAAAAGACACAAGGTTCGCTATATTGCACAACCTCTTGGAGTCTCTCAATCAGATTCCTATATAGACGCATCCACTCACTCGGCCTTTTTGTCAGCCACCCCAGAAACATTGCTGCTGTCACTGAAGTTTCTGGAAACCATATAAACAAGAGTCCTTCTTTCCAATTAGCCAGCCTCCATTTTATTTTCATCATCTTTCTCCTGGCTCGGAAGTGTGGAAAGGGAACTTCATGAGGACAGTGGTGACACCCAAGCAGGAAAAGCCCAAAGGGAACATCAGGCCAGCCATAAAACAAACTTGCATAGGAAAAGAGATTTAATAAAAGGTATTGAAAGAAGCCCCCTAGACAAAAGCCAAGTAATTAAGAAAGCTAAGGAAACAAGAAAAAGAAATCCCTTACAAACAACAGGTCATGCCAAATCAGCAAAACAAATAGACAAAAGACATGAAATAAATTCCATAGCAGACAGGAGATTGCCACAAAACAAATATAAGAAAACATTAGGACGAAACTGATAATCCAATCAAACCACCCCACGGAGTTTACCCTCCGGAGGAAATGAAGACAACCCCTGACAGGATTTAAAACATTAAGAAATACAAACACAAGCACTCACACACAAAAGGAGAAAAAAAGTATAAAAATCAGGGGTTTATTATACAAAGCGAGCTAGCCCCAGGAACGCAGACTTCTTGCTATCTCTCGCCTTCCTGAAAAATAAAAAGAACCAGCTTCCAAGCATTTGCCTGTGTCCTTGCACTGGAGTTCTCCCAGCAGGAAAACCGAACCCTCAGAAGAAAGGCATTTTCCAGCCTTTCAACAGAAGCAGACTGGATTTTCCTACCCACATACACACACACACTTTTTTTTTTAACTTACACATATCAACGCATATCTGTTTTTTGACCACCTGATGGCAATTAACAGCCCTAAGATTAAACTTTCTTGCAAGATTGCTACAGTCAATAGCGACTGAAGCTTCTCTGCAAATCTCTCAAAGTGTATATCAGGAAACCTGCCACCAGTTGGACATTGTGGCTGAGGGCAGAATAGGGTTACCTGGTATTTGAACAGGCAAAGGGCAATACAAACAATTGGAAAGGAGGAAAAATGCATGGGGAAGACACACTAATTGTTTCATATTTACATTCTTTAAAGAGTAAGGGATTGCAAGTGTGCAAACAGGCACATGATGGGAAATGCCCTTTGAGATGAATGTGCTAATGATTAGCAGTTGGCATATTATGAAATGACTGGACAACGAAGTCCATTCCTGCGAAGAAAATATTTTGTATCATAATGTACTTACTCGTGGTATGACTGCCAAACAACTGGGAATTCGTGGTGTGTTATTTGGAATGATCCATTATCTAAGGAAGCAATTATAGTAAGTCATTAGTTTTGATCAATAACAGCAGGCAGCAAAAATGTTAATGTGCTTTAGAAACTTCATCCACAGAGTTTTATTTCTTTCTGAATAGGAGTCTGTGAATGTATAAATAAAATAATCCCTGGTAGAATTCTTTTCCTGTGTATGTATGTATGTATGTATGTATGTATGTATGTATGTATGTATGTATGTATGTGTATGTAAATGAATATGGAGAAGTCAATGCCACAATATACTGCAAAAATTGTAAATGTGTTTGGGCCTCTTATAATTTTTTTTCTTATTAAAGTAGAACACACACATTGATTGCATCCTTTGTATCCTTCCAAAGGACAATTCTGAGAGGATGTGGCTACAGGAAGCAACAGGTATCAGTGTGTTGATATTCTTAAATTCTCCATACAACTTATTAATAAGTCCATCCTAAACCATTTTTGAATGCACCCACCATATGTTTTACAGATTAACAGTGTTGGAAGGGATTTTGTAGGTCATCTAGTCAACCCCCCGCCCCAGCCAAGCTGAAGACCCTACAGCATTTCTGACAAATGGCAGTCCAATATCTTCTTGAAAACTTCCAGTGATTAAATGCCAACACAATCCCTAACCTCAGGAGAGAGTGGACAACAGGAACTCATGATTTGGTGACAAGAGTTTCAATTTTGGAATAAGCTCACAAAGTGTTTTGAATTCTTGAGGTTTTCATTCACAGTAGTACCCACAAAGGAAGGGAAATTTTATGTATAATATAGTTTTCATGCTGTTCATACCATTTGAGTAATTAAATTGTTGCTCCATTATGCAAGAGTTCAAATCCGTGGATGAGGTGGACCACCTGGGACACTGTAGTTTAAAGGGAAATACAATTATTAACAA